GGACGCTACTAGGGGCTCCTGGCCAAGGACGCTTCCTGGCCTTACTACTAGGAGCAAGGACGCTACTAGGGGCTCTTGGCCTTACTGCTAGGAGCAAGGACGCTACTAGGGGCTCCTGGCCTTACTACCAGGAGCTCATCTCACATCATTGGGCGTTTGACACATTTTTGAGATCCCATTGCATGGTTTAGTAGCTGGTATAGTTTATGCAACGTAATGTACATTTGCCCTGTGCATACTCCACTTATATAATTCCCCACATCATCTCATTTCTCAGATGTATACTGTATAAATATATCCATTTGGTGTAATGCACGATCCTCGTGTCATGTCATTCAGTGTCAATTCATACTCGCTTGACATGTTTGGCCAGGTGTCAGCCGGTTTTTCCAGTTTTGTGGCAATTTATCATGTTTGTTCTTGCTTCACCTCACCTCACTGTTGAATTATCTCTCAACAATTTCTTTGCCTCCCCTTTCATATGATTCTAGTTTGCTCAGGCCACCAAAAATATCACCTTTGTCCGGCGCATTTTCGCCCCTGGCTATTCTCAAGTTTATTCTCTTCCTGCTGTACTCGTGTTCCAATTCCACCGTTTGCGCCTCAACTGGCCACTTCAATTGATAGATGGTTGCTGGAGTCCCTGCGCTGATGGTGTGACACCGCCTCACTTGGTTTGTCGCACCTTAGATGCGGCTTGGCAGCCGCTTCGGCCTGCCATCCATGCCATAGCCGCAGTCGCCTGAGCCAGCCTGTCCTCCCATGTCCAATGGTGGTGTTGGATAGGGCTGATGTGCTCAACCCGTTTCAGTGGCCCAAGAAGATCATCCATGGCTTTCAGAATGCTTTTGGTGATAAAGAGCGATGCATTTGGGCCGTTCGCTTTGGCAAGAGGGCTTGGCTGCGTGGCATGGATTTTATGAGTTCTCTCCATGGACTTAGAAAGGAGTTTCGGAAGGCTGTTCTGATCAATGGCTATGTGTACAAGTGCGAGCCCACTACCGAGTCAAAGTACACTTGATGCCACATGGAAAGTGCATTGTGAGGGTGCAATTGTTTGGCAACGAACTCCTCGGACTTTCTTCGGCAAATGCTTGCCTGTGCCACTGACAAATCGTTTGCTGAGGCAGATCTTTTGTTGGCAAAGACATATGACACGCTCAAAGCTTGGAGTGTTGCTGGCCAGTTCCCGAGGCGTAATCGTTTCAGGCAAGGCGGCAGTGGGCGCGAGCTGAATTCTGAATTGATGGATCCTGTGGAAGGGTGAAGGGTTTTCTGAAGGTGTTGTTCAGCAGTTACGACCTTCGCAGAAGGTGCTATTTGGTGAAACCAGCGTGGGTGGCAGTGGACAAGTCAAAAAATGTCACAGATGCCTTAACACCATTTGGCGCTTGGAACGTGTCATTTGGTGCACTGCAGCTATAATTCGAACGCATGAAAGACCGTCGGTACAGGTCCGATGGCCTCACAGTATCAAACCGGTCATAGTACCGGTCATATAGTCTCGACGTTTAAAGAGCAGATTTTGAAGTTTGGAGATTTAAGCGGGAGCCAAATATCAAGCTACTAGTCAAGCTATTCCAAGTGCTGTTTGTTTTCCTATTTGCAGGATGTGGAGGACGGCACGCAGCCCCATCCTCAGTTCAACTGGCTTTGGTCATACAACGCAGATTTCGGCAGTTCCGACGTCAGTGGTTCTTGTCTTGCCCGAGTATCCGAAGGATCGTATTCCACACAACCAGTAGAACAACTGGTGACTAGTGCACTGGAACTTATTTAGCGTACCTAATTTAATCGTGATAAATTATGAGAAATTAGTGTCAACCTTCAGCCCCAACCACCCACCCCCAGTATTTCTCCGAATCTATTTCTTGAAGGACGAAAAACAACCACAACTGCACTGTTGCACTCAGGCTGCCAGAGATTCTCGCAGATGCGCAGCATCCCATTGAGGTGCTGGAAGTCGGCGGTGGCTGGGTAGCTGGGTGTAAGTCAAGGCTTGAGTGACTACAAGATAACTATATCGGGCTGGATGTCAGGTAGATTCGCCAAAAGATGCCAAGAGCACAGTTTGTGCGGTGGCTTATTTGGATATCCATCATCTCTTCCGCAAAGAGTTCAGCTTTTTGTTCAGTTCGCGGCTGATGTTCCTTGACTTGCAGGCGCCCTGGGACTTCTTCCGGATCAAGCTGGTCATTCTCTTAGGATGACAAAGTGTTTGTGGCTGGCGATGGTCGATTTTGGGGCCTTACAGCTGAATAGAAGGTGTGGACCGAGGGAGGGCAAACCAGGACGGTTACACCCACAGAGTGACACCACAGAGTAGCTTGGACAACCTTAATTTGAGTGACGGTGGGGAAAGCAATCTAGTGGCCTTGTGCAGCCATGTCCAGCCCACATAGGAACAAGGGTATCGCTACTAGGAAAGGGCACTAGTAGTAGCAAGAAACTACTAATAGCAAAGGCATCGCTACTAGTCTTTCTTTATTTATTTCTTTATGTTTTTCTTTCATGGATGAGGTTTGTGTGCTGCTGGAAACCTGCGGCCACTATTTCGATCGGGGTGCCGTGCTGGACTCGGAGAGAAATCTGAAGGGCATCAAGAAATCCCTCCCAATACCCTCTCGGGTGACTAACATAAGATTCTGCTTGTGGCGGAGTTGGAAGATTTGTGTTTGCCAGGAGTGTGTGACATTGGAAGGAAAACCGGGAGGGGAACGTTTTTTTCGTGCCAAAGGAGCAGGAAAACAAGGAAGTGGACGACACACTCGATTTCCTGAAAGATGATATAGGAAATACTAGGTGCTACAGAAAGTCTTCTGAGCCTTTTGACACTGAGCATTGGGCATGCGTATTATTTGAGAATCTTGGATTTCGTTCTCAGTTCGGGCGTGTTGGATTTCCACTACTGCTGCACTGCTGAGTCCAAGCAGAAGTTGGACCGTTTCCTGACCTTTTTCATCCGCTACGTTCACAGCAAGGTGTGATCCTGCAGTTCCTACCTTATTCCGTTTGGGGAAAGTCACGGCAAAATGGAAAACATGCACAAGCCATTTCAAACCTGCACACTCAACAAGGGTTTTCGGGATGTGTGGCACGCACAACTATAGGGTTCTCGGGTGTACCCTAGCTTCAGACAGAGCCAGATGCATTATCGCAATTTATTACCCTACTACTATCAGCTCAGGTCTTTGACAGAGAGCTATACATAGTTTCCTTGTTTTTGTTGTAGATATCATACCGGGAGATTCCCGAGCTCTTCAGATCTCTATCTCCTTCTACTTGGGTAGTCTCTATATGAGAAGTCATGGTGAGCACTTTCTCCTCCCCTTCCAGACCTCCATAGCTTTGCTTTCGACGAAAATTGCAGGGCGAGCTACCGCAGCGCTTCATGAACATGGTCTATGATACTTTGGACAGGCTCAGGCGACCTTCTGAGATGTATTTTCTCGGGCGGTATTTCGGGTGCTGGAGCAAACACTGGAGACTGTTGTGTGTCCAGAGAGCTCTCGCGGCTTTGGATGCGGAGATCCTCTCATGCCGTAAGGCAGCTGTTCAAACAGCTGCACTGGCCTTACATGGCTTAACAGACTCCAAGGGGTGGGTTCTGACTGACACATTAACCACATGGAGTTGCATGGGTTTGACATACTGGAGAACTGCCAATCACTGTATCTTCCAGCATATATATGTTCCAGCATGTTTCAACATTACATTGCCAAACACCTAATATATAGTTCAAACCCATCGAGTGCTTCAGACCATCTCGAGGGCTGTGAACCACGATTGAGAGCACTGCCGTTGAAGCTTATACCATGAGCATGTTGATATGTGCTTTAGATGTGAAAAGACCTGTCACAGGTCATCTACTCCACTCCCAGGAGATGTTGACCAGAATGCACCACTCCCAAATCGAGGGTTTGTTAACCAGTCTGGTCCTGATTTCTGATGGATAGCTTCTCCACCATGCGGATGCTTTTGTTATTCATGGTGCCCGGAAGAATGTCTATGGAGTCCATGGTCCGTCCGCGGAGTGCGAGGCCGCGCTTGGTCTACCCTGAGCTAAAGTCAGAGGCCAATGAGGCCAAGTCAGGGAGCCAACTAGTCTTTCGGAGCTGAGTCAGGGAGTCCTATCAGCGAGTCGGGGTTTAGCTGGATGATTGGATGTTTGTGCGAGATTGTTCCTGTCAGATTGGAGGTATGCTTTACGCTGTACAGATGCAAGTCCCCCCAACTAAGGTCTCGAACCAGTTGGCCAAAGATGTGCGTCATCATTCAAGCTCTTCTAAAGTGGTTTGTTTTGAAGGGGGGCTCCCCAAACAATGAGATTGGTGGACACGTCCGTCCGCTGTCTCCTCGACACGTCCGTCAGCTGTGCCAGATGCTCCTGCGGATCTTGGACAGAGAGAAGGATGATCTGGATATGGGAGGTGACGACTGGAGGGCCGGTCTTTCGTGCTGTCCCTTCCCACTATCATGGACCAAGTGTAGTTCAAAAGGTGTAGATGACGCACCTATATTAAGATTTGAGGATTGAGGAATCTCATCGATTTCCTAGAATGTTTTTTTAAAGGAATCTTTCACCCCACACGCCAGTTCCGTGCCTGTGAGACCTCAGCTGCCAGGTGATAAGGAGGGCCGCGAGGAAGAGGATGACGAGGCTAAGCTGAAACCATTGAAACAACATTCCATGGAATTCAGTTGTCATGCACTGTCAAGCAAAAACAGCTAACTGGAAGTAAGCCCGGCGCTTGCTGCACAGTCAACGCAGTGGTGCAGGGAGATGAGGATGAGAGCACGGAAGAAGAGGAATCCGGCTCTGCACGGTCCTCAGATGCGTTTAACGGTTTGTTCAGCGCAATGGCGTTAGGCATCTATTGGCTGATGACCAGATTGCTTCTTTTCCTGGCTTCATTGGGCGAAGATTCCCAGTTCGCTGGTGCTCGCCAGGATGAGGAGTCTTCAGAGGAGGTCACCAGCGGAATCGGGGGTGAGTTCGAGTTGTAGCCCAAATGGCATAATTGAAGCGGAAGAAAGGAGCCATTGGACGAGCCAGAGCCATTGGACGAGAACTCCACCATCGTTGCCTTCCATTCCTCCACCATTGTTGCAGCCCGAATGTATTTCCCTTTTTGTAAAGCCCGCTCTTGCTTAAGTACAGTAAGCGCCTACTCAATCAAGTAAGGACTAGCCGCCACCACCTACTGGAGGCAGGATAGCTCATAGCTCATGCTTCTTCAAGGAAGCTCCCCCGGCCTGAGGGCGCGGGGATCTTACGCTTCCTTGCAGAAGTGCTCGCTCTATTAATTTGGTTCCTAGGTTGGTGGTGCCCTCCATGAGCACACGATGAGGCATTGCAGCAAACAGTACAAAAATGCGTGAACACGGTTGTATGGTGTTGTATGTTTAGATTGTCCAGGTATTGTTCCAGATGCTTGAGACAAGAAGTGCAACATTTTTCAGTAAACCGGAGACCATCGTCCACGGCTGCTCGGGATACTCTTGTTCCCTACTGCGGTTGTGTGATTTAGGACACGCCCCGAAGGAGTCAGAAGAGGAGGATGCAAGCGAATCAGATGATGATGAAGATGCGTGCCAACCCTAGCTGCGAGCGATCAATGTAATATCACATGCTATTGGCTTGGCCTAAAATAGAGATCCAAATTCATCCGAGTTCCTTTGCTTCAGACCCACAGGATGGAACTGACACGGGAGCGGAGTGAACCGACCCGGACTGAGATGATGAGGTATGATCGAGGCGATGACGATCAGAAGTCTGGAGCTGATCCAAGGTGATGGCTGGGGAGCATGAGAGCTGCTGTGCAAAGTCTTCTTGAGGGATTGCACTGGTTGAAAGCATCATGGAAATGAAAAACCACCTGTTTGTAGCGGAAACGGATCATCCAACGAGCCATGCCAGTGCAGCGGGAATGGTAGCAGATTGGGAGCACTACGAAAGGCACAGTATGGCAGTATGGCATAGGTAGATTCTGCATCCAAGCCTGTATGAACCACCGCCGGACCAGGAAAGACATCTTGGCCTTCCTAATGCAATGGTGTGTGTTTCGTTTAAGGGCCAGCCCGCCTTATCACTAGTTTCCAGGAGATGTTTGAACCATCCCCACTGCCGAAGAGACCGACCTAGGCATGCCGCCGAAGATGATTTTGACAAAGAGGCCCATTGGGATCGTGACTGGATCAGCGTGACAGCTTCCAGAACTTGGAGGGCTGGTGGGGAAAGGCCGTTGACAGGTGATCAGTGTCCAGGGGTTTGACTCCAATCCGTTTCTCATTTGGCGAACGTGTGCTAGAAGGTTGCGTTCTATCCATCCACTGGTCAGTGTGGTCAGTTCACCATATGCATTCGCCCCCAATAAGGCAGAGCATCTCAAGAACACACCATTCACAGAACTCCTGAGCTTCCCAAATCTTGAAAGGTTCTCATCTGCAGCTGCATGTGTTCTTTTCCCATCTACATGACTTACACCTCATGTGGTAGCCACCTACCACTCATGGCAACCCTGCAGCAGCGCCGCAGGTGCAACAGATCCTCATCGAATCCCTGGAGAAGGAGCGGAACGCGCCCAGGATCCTGCCGGGACGCCCCCAGGTGTCAGCGTTGGTGGGGAAAATGCGTTGGTTTGGGACTCTACTTCAGTGGGGCCTAGGTTTGGGACTTTTCCCTGGTTAGCTGATTCCAGGTTCGTACATGTTCTTACTATTGGAAGGGCACTTGTTGAATCCTGTTATGCATAATTCAGTTTCATATGATGCATTCTGCCAAAACATACAGTACCAACTGGAACCAACATGTTGGGGGAGATCTTTACAAAAAAGAGAGAACTGAGAACACATCTTTCAGCTGCTTTGCATCTCCATCGTGGTTCCCATGCTCAGGTCAAGTTGGTCACCCTCGGAGCGCCCCGCTCTCTGTGAGGTCCGAGCTTCCACCTCCAACGGTCATCGCCAAGAAGACCGAGCAGCGGGACCGCGAGCACTCGCAGCCGAAACGCGCGTCCAACGTCTGAATTGTTAGAAGTGGAGGGTACAACTTCTGAGTAAACCATCGTCCACCTTCAAACAGGTGGAACATGGTGGAACAGTCATCATGTTGACAACCGTAACTGTGTCAAGATCAGCTTTCTGGCCAAAATAGGCAGCAGGATTACAAGGCCCTCATCCAAACCCATAAGATGCACCACGCAATTTTCAACCATCAATCCAGACTGGGTTCAGGCAAGGTGTTCTTTTTGGCGAAATCGGCACCTTCTTTGGGAGTGCTTGACATGCTTAGTTCAACGCGTGCAAACCAAATGACGTTCGCACATGCAGAGGTGTTTTCCAAGTTTTCAGGCGCTGATAGGTTTCGACACTTGCTCATCTGGTGCTAAAACCTCGATATCTTCAATATGTGATCGGTCACCTGTCAGCACTGGGTTGAAAAGCTTTGATGCAATTGGACTCACAAGTGAGCCCTTCTCGTATCCAAGACTTGCCGTGGTCGTAGTAGGTACCAGAAGCATAGGGTTTCAATCAATCTTGGTTTTCCTCTCCCCGCAATGGGGTTCTGTTCCAAGGAGAGGTGCAAAACAGATCCAAGACATTCCCAGACAAATTCCCCACAATCAATCACACTTGGGCTTCAAGCTTAGTTTAAGTCAAGTTCCGGCACTTTCTGAAAACTTCTGACGTCTCCTTCCAGAAGAACCATGAAGAACCACTTCTCCACCACTGAGACTTGCGTTGGCCCATTTCGATGTCGTACAACAGCGTTTGGGCGTTTGTTGAATCATGTATTTGAAGTTGTGGATTCTGCCGATCTGGACACATTCACGGGAACCAACTTCCAGCAAAATCGACATTTAGGGGAGATGTTGATCATTTCTGGGGAAGTTTGAGATCTATGGCAGTCTATGGTGTGTGAGATGGCCCAGAGAAAAAATTCTCTTGGACCCTTCGCGAAACGTTTTCGTTTCGCCAGGAGGTGCCAACCGGGCAGTTCAACCTCCTTCAAAAGCCGGCAGAGCGTCATTGCGAGTTGGGGAGTTGGGGAGATCTGCATGACAAGCAACAACGGCCTCAACAGCTGAACCCGAGACACATGCGGAACTTGCTGATTTACTTCTTAGTATGTGAGGAACAAGAAGACGAAACTTCAGGCCTTGAATCATTTTGACTCCAAGGTGGGAACTGAGTATATAGGCAACTAGTCATTTGAGTATTTGAGGATGTAGGAAGGGTCGGAAGGGTGCAAGTTTCGTCGGATTTTGATATGGGTTCCGCGGTGGGAATGCTTGGCCAGGAAGACAGGTGGTAAGATCCAGATGAAGCAACTGAGCATCCCAGATGATTCGAAGTTGCTACAAGTTGCAGCCTTAGACAGAGCAACTCATGGTGCTCTAACTCACGGGGGTTTTGGAAGATGTTCAGATGATCATCATGATCATCCATGTGCACGTTTTGGTCAGCATCAAGGACCTACGTTTGGAATAGCCACCATCTCGAGACGCACCAACGAAGCATCTCCTTTGCTCATGGTCCGCGGCCATGCTGAGGCCAGAAAAGATGACGTGGAAGAAGCCTCCAGAGAAAAGGAGGACCTCAAAAGGCAGCAAAAAAAACAATTTCAGACGAAGATAGCCTGTAGCACCCATCTCTTTCCGAAGATAGCGCTGTGTAAAAAGCTTTGTGAGTTGGACTACCCTGTCAGGTTTGTCATGCAGTATGAGGAAACTGGGGTGGGTGAACTCTGGCATGTTTTTTCGAGTCGCGAGTCGCGAGCAGGGACATGTGGGGACTCCTTTGGGATAGGGGATGGCATGTGACCGCGGTCTGGGTCAGCATGCTGTTTCAACTTCTCTTGCTCACCGCTGTGGCCTATTCTGGATTGATCCTGGCAGGCGATGCGTCAGGATCTGTCATTTCATTTGCCGTCCATCTCTCAGAGCGTTGACCCTGTGTGGATGATCGGAGGGTGGCATAGGCTGTTGACGGCTGATTGCAGACAGAAGAACAGAAGTGCCAAGGTGGATCCTGAATGGGGGAAGGATTCTTGATCCATCCCGGTGTGAGGGGAAAGACGATTGCATTGCCCAGACTTACTGGGGCTCTTTTGGTTCAAGAAAACAGTTATGGGCAGAATACGCATGGGAGAGCTACCCAAGACTGCGCAAAACCACCAAACTCCAACTCCATTGCACAGCCCCAAACATGCGCACCCGGCAGCCAATATAGCAAGACGAGCAGCAAGGCGTTGATGTTCGCTCCAACCCAGCCATGAAGACATTTCGTTCATGTTTGCTTGTCAGGATGGCTGGAGCAAGACCCTTGCAGCCTCACATTTAGATTGATTAGACCCTTGGCTTGCGCCCAAGTCCTGGATTTGCGACTCATGGGCCAGTGCCCCTCCAACCACTGCCATCGCGATCTTTGCCGTGATTTGCCTGAGGGAGGCGAGTCCGAAGTCGAAGATATAGGCTTAAACGGAACTCTATTCCTACCTAGAGCTCCTTTCCTAGCAACATTGTGGTTATGGCTCAGGGAGTAGAAAGGGGGCCCAACTAGGATACTAGGAGGTCCATATATTTGAGCTACACATCCTGACACTTGGGGGCCATGATTTCGACACCTCTAGCACCGGTAAGATCCTTTTAGTTCATTTCTTGCAGCACCTCCCATCGAACCAAAAAACGTGTTCCATCATTTCACACAAACACTCAAGAGGAGGGATCATGAATCATGTCCTCCAGCCTACCTTATCCCAGAAAAGGTCCCCAAGTCTCAACTTCCTCGCTCGCATCGCTCGCGATTCCAGGCTCGGCACCCAAAGCCAAGAGCTCGGAGGGGCAGGTCAGCCAGTGAGAGCCAATGCGAAGCCTGGGGAGAGCTGAGCACTGTCGGTGAAACAAAAAGGTTGAATAAAAGATCGAAATGGCAGACTTGTCCATTTTAATGCAGGTTTACCAAAAATCCCAAGGGCAGGGTAGATCATCCAGATTTCTTGTGCCACATTCCCGGCCTGACAAGTTTCACATAATCAGCCTGCAGATGAAACTTGACGCCTTTGCCCGGCAGATTTTGTTTGACAGGACCTTCATCCCGCATGTTTGCAAGATGCCGCCCTCGTCGCCTTCCCCATGAACAGGACTCCATCCGACAACGGCTACATGGAGATGAGTTGCCTGAGGAACTGGCTGGTGCCCTACTAAGAGCAGTGGCATCAATCCAGGCGGGGGCGGCACATTACAATAACCCAGTCCTGCTCAGCCTGCGGAAAAATCCCATGTCCTGCACCCGCAACATGGCTGTTGGAGTTTATAGGACTTGATGCGAGCGATTCGTGCGAGCCCAGCACCTTGTTTTTTGAGGGCCCATGGCTGGCACCCGTTTGGTACCCAGTGGTCTTCGAGTGTTCCCTTTCAGGCCACACGCCCGGGCAATCTCAACCTGACGAAAAGCCACTTGGAGGACAAATGCAGGGACCGTGCATGTTGTCATGTGTCTTCGAGCAGCACCCGGGCGTGCCAGGTTTGTGTATGAAGTGAAGGTTAGTTCAAGAACTCAGAGCCCCTTTATGTTATCCTATTATGTTGTGGGGTTCCGGCACATGTCTCAACTTTCATCCTGATGCAAGTAAGACACACATTGACATATCATGTCCATGCAGATATGCTGCAGCATGCACAAAGATGTAGATATAGATTATCCAAGTATCATCCTAATTAAACTAAACCATTTAATTTTAATTATTGATCCTGTTGATCCGTGCAGAGAGAGCACTGACAAGTTGACGAATCCAAGTGATATTTGTGAGGTGAAGCAGCCCCAGAACTTCCAATTGGAACTTCCAATGACTCAGTTTATTCCACCACTACCATAGGGGTAATATGAGTCATGTAGACTCTCACACAACAGTCAGAGGGATTCGACCCATTTCTGGGACGTCCCCGAGGTGCGCCTCTACTGAGTCGCGGTGTGCAGACCGAGCCCTTGACGCCCGAGACCGAGGCTGAGAGTCGAGGTTGGTTGATCCATCCATTCCCTCCATCTCTGGGTAGCAAGAACGCTACTAGGGGCTCCTGGCCTTACTACTAGGAGCAAGGACGCTACTAGGAGCAAAGGGCATTACTATTAGCAAGAACATAAGTTGGACCAGGTACCACTAGAAGACTAGATGAAGTATGCTAAATCGGGTGGCATTCTCATCCTCACGCAGACCGGAACCACCTGGTCTAGTTGTGTTTTGTTGAAGAATCCCTTTCTTTTTCTTCCTCTCGGTCCTAAATGGCTGGGGCAGGCTGCTGCACATAGCACAGGGCATTTCACCGGGGACTATGGCACCATGACAGTTGTTGTTTAATCATGATTTTGATTGAACACTTGGCTAACTGTTTGTTGATAGCCGCTCGGTTGGGCTCTTTCTTTGGCTTATTCTTATACACGTGCACTTCATTCAGCAAAGATGGAGACCATGTTGGTCGTTTGCAGGATCTTTCTTTAATCCAAGTTGAGTGGAAGCGTTCAACGACGTGAGACAATCCGAACAAACTGGCATCCCAAGCCCCAAGCCATGAACCATTTTAACGGCATTGTCCATGTTCCTGCCTTCTCACTGTCCACTGTTCCATCGACTGGTGGAGGATTGCCTTCTCCTGAAATTGGTTTTGGGCCCCGGAACCTTCACCCGAGCAACGCAGACGAACCGCTACTTCATGTCGAACAGGTGCTGCCGGAGCTCTTCTTCGTGCCGGATGGCGAACCCTGGGAGCTAGTGCAGTCTGACACAGGACCGAGGGGCTGTGACAGGGACAGATCAAGTTGAAGTGTTCGACGTGGTGGGTCTTCGCTTCATTTACCAAATGGAGCAGTCTTTACCCATAAAAACCAGAGGGTAGCCAGACTGGCAGCCCGTGGCCCATTTTGCCGGCTTGCCCTGTGAAATTCCGATGCTCTCCGGCGCAGCCTGTGGCGGTGCAGGAAGTGAGCCGGCCTCGGAGGCAGAGGAGGACCATCTTGGAGGCCGGAATACCGGCGCGTGTGTCGGAGATCCGAACCATCGTCGGAGGCCAGGCATATGGCACCACGTTTAGCTGGGAGTCATAGACCGTCGACCGTCACCCGTTGATATTGGGCAAGTAACCTTTTTGTTGGGAGTTGGACAGCTCCACAGGCAGCCGAAATGATCTGAATGGCGGTTTGGCCAAGCTTGCAGTTTTATGTTTGTTTACGTTTGGAAACTCGAAACTCCTAAACTTATGATATCTTATGATCTGTTGTCTTTGGAGATCTTTGGAGTTCTGGAAAAAAACATGGGAATCTTCATACAAACTAACTCGATTGAACTCACTGCCCAAACAAAGATCCGACGGTCGCGAGCCCAGCGGCGAGGATTGCATCCTGCTTGGAGTGAAGAACTCATGATGTCAGGGAGCCTTGGCTCCAAGGTTCTTCCTTGCTGCATGCCCATAAAGCCATGGCTTTGGTTGTCCGCAATGTGTTAACATCAAGGTGTTAAGGGTTCATTCATCCTTTAGCACTTGATTTGTGTTTTGATGTTCCATCTTCCATTTCCTGCCACTGGACGACAGCACGGCAAGTTCCAACAGACTTTGCTGCTGCTGGACTTTGCTTCCAAAGGCTCTTGCCAGAACCTCCTCGTGAGCCCGTACTCCTTGACGTTTCCGCGGATGCCGCGGCTTCCGTGCTTCCTGAGCCCCACGGTGGGCGGTGGGCGCGGTTCGAGGATGTTCGCGGTGTGCTTTTTCTTTTTTGGTACCGAAAGGTGTTCCGAATGGTTGCACTGCCAGATGGTTTGAGGCATATTGGACCCCAAAGACCCCCGTGAGCTTGATTGCCTATTCACTCTTGCCACAGGTGACAGCGCACCGGAGCAGCAGGGGGCCAGTGAGCAGCAGGGCCCTAGCTTGGAGGTGCATCCGAACCAATGTGATCTTCCTGAAAACTCGCAAAGTTTCGTTGTTGATACAGTGGATTAGAGAAGGGACGATAGCTTGCCAGTGGGCTTGTGCCATGAACAGTCGCACGCCAAGATGCGGCTTGTCAAAGACGAGTTCTGATTCTGATGTTTTACTGGCACGTGCTGCTTCAAACGTCGAAGAAGGGTCACTTGTGTTTTGTGAGGTTCATTGGTTCATTGTTTGCACTCCCAATTCGTTTGCTTTTTTCCCATCACCCAGTTTGCGCCGTTGGTTCTAAAGAGCGGCACTCGGGCCAGGCGAAAGACCCAGCCGGGGCTCCAAAGGGAGCCCCAACAGAGGCTCCTTCTTCGGGGCCCGCGGCGCCACCCCAAGACGGGCAAGACAAAGGAGAATGCCAAAAGTTCTTGCTGGAACATGAGGGCATTTGGCTCCGATGCAGCGATCAAGATCCAGTCGCCACTTGGTTGTGCAATATTTACATGAGGTGTTTCCCTGGGTTGTGCCAGGTTTTGTTTTGGTGTTTTTCATTGTTTTGGTCCAAAATGTTTGGGACATCAGCTCCCGCCCGGTTTGAACGACATCTCAGGCGGCCTTAAAGGATCAGAAGTTGTGGCGGAGAGACGACCCAAATCCAACACACCTGGAGGCGCTACCAGATCTGAAAGCTACTTGGATGTTCCAGGAGCCCCTGTCACTGGCCCAGCTCTGGCCACTTGCTCAAGAAGACCCACAAAGTTGGAAATCAAGAGAACATGCTTCCTACCCCTTCGCTTTGATCGCTACACTGTTTTGAGAAAACAACACCAGAGCAAGAGCCCAACCCTGCCAAGTTGGCTTCGGCCGCTGAGGTTCAAATTGGAATGAACTTGTTACTA